CGAGGCGGCAGCTGCGTCGTGCCCACCCGCACCCGGTGCCACCCCCAGAGCCCGGCCTGGCAGCGGGCCCGGCGGCGGGGGGCTAGGCCCCGCGGGTGCTTCCGCACAGGCACGGAAGGGGCCCGGCAGGCAGCGGCATTCCCGTGCCCACTCCCGCTCCCACTCCCGTTCCCGCGGCCGCAGCAGGTGGGAGAGGACGTCCGGCCCGGCCACACCGGATGAGCCGCGGCGCCGCCAGCGCCAAGGCCACCGCAGCCCTCCCCAGTGCCTCCCCCGACACACGTCCCCCCCAGTGCTACCCACACATCCCCACGGTGCCCACTGAGCGCCCATGCAGTGCCTGAGCTGCCCCCTGCACCCCACAGCGCCCGGGGGGGCCCTGGGCCAGGCGCCCGATGCCCCCCAGGGCTGCGCCCAGGGCAGCTGCTACCCGGCCACGGGCGATCTGCTGGTGGGGCGCGCGCAGCGCCTGAGTGCCACGTCCACGTGCGGCCTGCGGCGGCCCCAGCCCTACTGCATCGTCAGCCACCTGCAGGTGAGCGGCACGGGGGGCGGCGGCGGGGCGGCCCGGCCGCGGGGACCCGCTGAGCCCCCCCGGTGCCGCGGCGGCAGGACGAGAAGAAGTGCTTCGTGTGCGACTCGCGGCGCCCCTACGACGCCCGCAGCAACGCCGGCAGCCACCGCATCGAGAACGTGGTGACCACCTTCGCCCCGCGGCCCAAGAAGGCCTGGTGGCAGTCGGAGAACGGTGAGCGGGGGCGGGCGGCGCTCCCGGGGGGCTCCCTTCCCGCGGCCGCCCCCGCGGAGGAAGCTGAGTCAGCCGGCGCGCGGAGGCGCCCTGCCCGGCTCAGCGCCACGTCCCCCAGGCGTGGAGCACGTCAGCATCCAGCTGGACCTGGAGGCCGAGTTCCACTTCACCCACCTCATCATGACCTTCAAGGTGGGTCCCCGGGGCGCCCCGGGATGGGTCCCCCTTCCGCCATTCCCTGCTGTGCCCGCGGGTCGCGGGCACCGTGGCATCCTGGCGTCCCGCAGACCTTCCGTCCCGCGGCCATGCTGGTGGAGCGCTCGGCCGACTTCGGGCGCACGTGGCGCGTGTACCGCTACTTCGCCTAC